CCCAAAATGCCCCAAAATCCCCGGAATTCGCCCCAAAACCCATTCATACCACGTTGTTTTGGGGGCTCATGTCGCAGAGGTGCTCGCAGAGCAGCCGGCACGCCTCGCGCTCGCCCCAGTGCGCGGCCGCGTGCAGCGGCGTCCAGCCGTCCTCGTCCCGCACGTCGGGGTCGCAGCCGGCGGCCAGCAGCAGCCTGGCGCCCAAAACCGGGCAAAAAACGGGAAAAACGGGCAAAACGGGCAAAATGAACACAAAAACGGGAAAAAAACACCCGGGAATGGCCAAAATCACCCCAAAAAACAGTCAGAAACGGGCAAAAACGGGGAAAACGGGCAAAAATGGGCGAAATGAACATTAAAATGGGCAAAAACGGGCAAAAAACGGGCAAAACGGGCAAAAAACGGGGAAAATGGGCAAAAACGGGCAAAATGAACGCAAAAATGGGCAAAAACGGGCAAAAAACACGTGGGAACGGCCAAAATCACCCAAAAAAACAGGAGAAAACAGGCAAAAACGGGCGAAATGAACATTAAAATGGGCAAAAACGGGCAAAAAAACCACCCGGGAACGGCCAAAATCACCCCAAAAAACAGCCAGAAACGTGGAAAAACGGGCAAAAACGGGTGAAATAAACACAAAACCGGACAAAAACGGACAAAATAAACCCCAAAACAGCCAAAACCACCCCAAAGCACCCCAAAATAGGCAAAATAAACCCAAAACAAGCAAAACCCAGCCAAAACCAGGCAAATATCACCAAAATAAACCCAAAAACAGGCAAAACAAACCTAAAATATTTTGGGCAGTTTTGGGTCCATTTTTGGGGCTATTTGGGGATATTTTGGGGATATTTTGGGGCTATTTTGGGGCTATTTGGGGATATTTCGGGGATATTTCAGGGATAACTCAGAGATATTTTGGGGATAATTAGGGATATTTTGGGGCTATTTTGGGGATATTTCAGGGATATTCAGGTCCATTTTGGGTCTGTTTTTGGGATATATCATGGATAACTCAGGGATATTTTGGGGATAATTCGGGCCATTTTGGGGATGACTCAGGGCTATTTTGGGGATATTTTGGGGATATTTTGGGGATATTTTGGGGACAATTCAGGGATATTTCAGGGATATTTTGGGGATAATTTGGGCTATTTTGGGGATGACTCAGGGCTATTTTGGGGATATTTTGGGGATATTTTGGGGACAATTCAAGGATATTTCAGGGATATTTTGGGGATAATTTGGGCTATTTTGGGGATATTTCAGGAATATTTCAGGGATATTTTGGGGATATTTTGGGGATGACTCAGGGCTGTTTTGGGGATAATTCGGGCAGTTTTTTTGGGATGACTCAGGGATAATTTGGGCTATTTTGGGGATATTTCAGGACTATTTCAGGGATATTTTGGGGATATTTCAGGAATATTTCAGGGATATTTTAGGGATATTTCAGGGATATTTTGGGGATATTTTGGGATAACTCAGGGCTATTTTGGGGATAACTCAGGGATATTTTGGGGATATTTTGGGGATAACTCAGGGATATTTTGGGGATATTTTGGGGATAACTCAGGGCTATTTTGGGGATATTTTGGGGATATTTCAGGGATATTTTGGAGACAATTCAGGGATATTTTGGGGATATTTCAGGGATATTTTGGGGACAATTCAGGTATATTTCAGGGATATTTTGGGGATAACTCAGGGATATTTCAAGGATATTTTGGGGATAATTCGGGCTATTTTGGGGATGACTCAGGGCTATTTTGGGGATAACTCAGGGATATTTCGGGGATATTTTGGGGATATTTTGGGGATAACTCAGGGATATTTTGGGGATAACTCAGGGATATTTTGGGAATATTTTGGGGATATTTCAGGGCTATTTTGGGGATAACTCAGGGATATTTTGGGGATATTTTGGGGATAATTTGGGCCATTTTGGGTGTGTTTGGGGCGCTTTTAGGCGCTCACCTCATGACCTCGATGTAGCCCTTGGCGGCCGCCACGTGCAGCGCGCTGGCGCCGGCGCCCGCCAGGGGCCGGTCCCGGGCACGGCCCGAGGCCAGCCAGAGGCGCGTGTCCCGCAGCAGCCGCTGCTCCTCGGCACGCTTGGCATCGGCCACATCCACACCTGGCACAGGTGAGCACACCTGAGCACACCTGGGCACACCTGGGCACACCTGGGCACAGCCCAGGTACACCCCGAGCCAGCCAGAGGCGCGTGTCCCGCAGCAGCCGCTGCTCCTCGGCGCGCTTGGCATCGGCCACCTCCACACCTGGCACAGGTGAGACAGGTGAGCACACCTGGGCACACCCCAGGTACACCCCGAGCCAGCCAGAGGCGCGTGTCCCGCAGCAGCCGCTGCTCCTCGGCGCGCTTGGCATCGGCCACATCCACACCTGGCACAGGTGAGACAGGTGAGCACACCTGAGCACACCTGGGCACACCTGGGCACACCTGGGCACAGCCCCAGGCCAGCCAGAGGCGCGTGTCCCGCAGCAGCCGCTGCTCCTCGGCGCGCTTGGCATCGGCCACATCCACACCTGGCACAGGTGAGCACACCTGAGCACACCTGGGCACACCTGGGCACACCTGAGCACACCTGGCCTAACCTGGGCATACCTGGACACGCCTGGACCACACCTGAGCACACCTGAGCACAAATTGAGCACACCTGGGCACACTTGGACACACCTGGGCACACCTGGGCACACCTGAGCACAAACTGAACACACCTGGGCACACCTGGACACACCCTGACCACACGTAGGCACAAACTGACCAAACCTGGCCTAACTTGGGCACACCTGGGCACAGCCTGGATATACCTGACCACACCTGGACACACCTGGACACACCTGCACACACCTGGGCACACCTGGACACACCTGGGCACAAACTGAGCACACCTGGACACACCCTGAGCACACCTGGGCACACCTGAGCACACCTGGGCACACCTGGGCACACCTGGGCACACCCACA